CTTATTTGCAACCAGGGATGAGTCTTGAATGATTGACTCTGTGAGGTGCTAAGAAAGGGAAGGTTCCCGGTGTCACCTGTTTATAGGTACCAAGCTCGTCCTTCCAAGTGAGGAGGGGGCCGAGGCCTAACACCGCTTCTTTTGTGATCTTGTTTCAATACTAGGTTTGAGACCTGGGTGCAGCATGATGGAGTGAGCTCCAATCTCTAGTTCCAGCTCCTGCCAACCTATCAGTTCGCATGCAAGAAATTGCAAGTAGATAAATAGGTACCACTTCGGTGGGAAGGTAACAGCGTTCCGTGCGCCTTGGTGTTTAGTCATGCCGGCCACATGACCACGGAAACGTCTTCGGACAGCGCCGGCTCTTCGGCTTTGAAACGGAGATGAGCACCACAACCCTAGAGTCGGATTCGACTGGCTTTCGAGCAAGGGAGACCTTTACCTTTACTTTACTTTTTTCGATACTAGGACGGAGTGTTTGATAACTTCTGTGGGGAAAAAAGGATTGTAATAGAAAACGATAATTCGTTTTAGGACACTTTTGTTGTCCGTTACTTTTGTACGGGGGTTTTTTTTTGGTGGCTTGCATACTTGCATATCCTGTACATGCATTGATAGTTGATTCTTGTCCTTTATTTGCATAACCGCGGCTGGTAATTGACCTTACTCTCTTCCAGAGAGAAGAGGAAAAAAACCAGGAACACTTTAGAAACTCGGAGTGAAAACTCCACACCTCTGATAACGCATTTGATTCTCAAGGCCATTGATCTTGTTCTTGGATAATCTTTAATGACAGGGTTTCTTCTTCCTGGGTTGGACTGACGCATAACGTGTCACAGTATTCTTGGCAGGCGGCAGCAGATCCCTGGACGACAAACCATGTCCTCAGTTCCTCGTGGTGTGTTTAAGCCCCCACTGTGCTAACAAACTGGTGCTATTGTTAGAAACTTTTATATTGGCTGCTGGGTGCCGGTCAAAGTGCTAAATATAAAACATCCAACAGGTAATAGAGGGTAACTCCCCGCCCACGTCTAGCGGAACTCCTTCAAGGATTCCACAAAGTCTTTCAGTGACGTACTACGTGTAGACTTTCCCTCCAGGAAATGTTTCTTCCACCCACAAGTTACGATAGAATAGAATAGAACAGAATAGAACAGAAACATAGAATTGGAAGGTTCCATAGAGGGCATCTAGTCCAACCCCGGCTCAATGCAGGATCAGCCTTGAGCGTCAAGTGTTCATCCAGCCGCTGCTTGAAGATCCCCCGTGAGGGGGGAGCTCACCACCTCCTGAGGCACCCCATTCCACTGCTGAAGACCCTTACTGTAATTTTTTTTCTACTTAATATCCAGCTGGTACCTTTCTGCCTGTAATTTAAACCCATTACTGAGAGTCCTCTCCTGTGCTTCTAACAGGAACAGCTCCCTGGCCTTTCAAATAGTTCGAGAGAGCAATCCTGTCCCGTCCCCTCCGCCCCACAAAATTTCTGTTCTCCAGACTGAACATTCCCAAATCCCTCAGCCTTTCCTCGTAGGGCCTCGTCTCTAGGCCCTTGATCATCCTTGTCGGTCTCTTCTGCACCCGTTCGTTCTGTCCACATCCCTTTTGAATGTAGGCCTCTAGAACTGCATACAGTGCTCATAAGAACATAAGAGAAGCCATGTTGGATCAGGCCAGTGGCCCATCCAGTCCGACACTCTGTGTCACACAGTGGCCAAAAATACCAGGTAACATCAGGAGGTCCACTAACAGTGGGGCCAGAACTCCAGAAGCCCTCCCACTGTTGTTGTAATGTATTCATAAGCTGCCATTGAATGCATTATGTGTTGTGAAACATCTCATTGAAATGTAATGTTAAGCTTCGTCCTGGGCTAGGATTCAAATCCATCCAATCGTGTTACTAGCCCAGGAAGCACCTAACCAATCACTTTCAAGCACGCTCCCTGAGCGGGAACATCCGTGATTGGTCCTTATGTGAACAACCTTATTGGTTGGTATTTGTACCGTGGGTGTGGCTATATTAGCCAGGAATGTTTAAAAGCAGGACAGCGGCAATGTAAAGGCTGTTCTGGCTATCAGATGTTGATCCGTGTTGGAGTTGAAGAATAAAGTTGTGTTCTTGCTGAATCACTCTCCGACTACTTTGTTAAGCGAGCGACTTAACAGTTGTCCCCCAAGCACCAAGAGTACAGAGCATCACTGCCCCAGGCAGAGTGTTCCATCTACACCTTGTGTCTAAGAGCCACTCATGGACCTCTGCTCCATATGCGTATCCAATCCCCTCTTGAAGCCGTCCATGCTTGTAGCTGCCACCACTTCCTGCGGCAGTGAAATTCCACACGCCCAGTATTCTTTGGGTGAAGAAGTACTTCCTTGTATCTATTCTAAACCTACTGCTCATGAATTTCATGGAGTGCCCACGAGTTCTTGTACCGTGAGAAAGGGAGAAAAGTACTTCTTTCTCTACCTTCTCTGTTCCATGCATAATTTCGTAAACCTCGATCATGTCACCCCTCAGTTGTTGCTTCCCCAAGCTAAAAAGACCTAACCTCTTTAACCTTTGTTCATAGGGAAGGTATTCCATCCCCTTAATCCAGAGGGGCTGAACTCTCGTAACTTTGTTATGGGAGTCAGAGTTGACATAAACGTCACTTTGGCAGGCCGGGCCATGTGTGCCATAAAATGTAATACCAGATACTGAAGATATAAACTTTATAAAGGACACAGGCCTTTATATATATAAACTTTATAAAGTTTATAAACTTTATAAAGGACACAAGCGGCAGCCATTTTGTGGCTGGCTCCACGTCCTGTGGCAGCCATTTTGTGCCTGGGCCCACCGCAGTCTGTCAAAACTTCAAAGAATGTCCACAGGCTCAAAACGTTTGGGGGGCCCTGTCCTATATCATGGGGTTCCTGTGGCTTTTTGGTACTGGGTAGCGACAAGCAGAGGTCATTTCCTGCAGGAGCGCACCGGAGCGGAGCTCCAGCAGTAAAGAGCCCAGGGGGCGGGCACATGCAACAAGCCCCACCCCCTGCCCCCAGCAGCCCTCAGTCAGAGCAAGAAGCAGCCAGGTAAGTTGCAAAGCTCCCCCCGGGTCCAAAACGGTCCAGTGGCACCTTTAAGACCAAGTTTTATTCAGGTACAAGCTCTCCCTCCTCTGTGAGGACAGATCTGCACATTCCCCCCTCCCCCTTTGCTAACAATCCAAAACAGTCCAGAGGAGCCTGAGCGGGGGGTGTTGCCTTCTGACACACTTCTGGTGATGTCATGGGGTGTGGCATATGCAAATAAGTTATGCTAATGAGTTATGCTAATGAGCTCCTCCACCTATTTTTCTATGAAATGACCCCTGACGACAAGCAAAGGAGAACTCATGAAGCTGCCTTATACTGAATGCGACCATTGGTCCATCAAGGTCAGTATTGTCTACTCAGGCCGACAGCCGCTCTCCAGGGTCTCAGGTCTTTCAAATCTCCTGCTGCCTGATCCTTTTAACTGGCGGTATCAGGGACTGGACCTGGGACCAATGCTCCCTCTAAGCTGTGGAGTCTGGTGAGCAAAAATTCTACTTTGTGATCTACTGGCATTAAAGTTGTGAGCGAGCGTATTTGGCTACTGCATAAATTAGGTTGCTCTGGAAGCATCCCTTCCTGAGCGGAGACGAAAACGTGTGAGCTGGAGGCTAAAAAAACTGTGAGCCAGCTCACACTAACTCAGCTTAGGGGGAACACTGCCCGGGACGTTTTGCGTGCTTCTTCCCCCTACTCCACAACTGCAAATTCATGTCCCTGCCATTGTCCCCACCAGGTCCTAATCAAGGATGGTGCGGAGCTGTTTTCTGTTGCCCCAGAAGGTCGGACCAGAACCAACGGGTTGAAATTAAATCAGAAGATTTTTCGGCTGAACACGAGGAAGAACTTCCCGACAGTTAGGGAGGTTCCTCAGTGGAAGGGCTCTCCTTCTGTGGAGGTTTTCAAACAGAGGCTAGATGGCCTTCTGACAGCAGTGCTAATTCTGTGAACTTAGGCAGATCATGAGAGGGAGGGCAGGAAGGGTCGCCTCAGTGCTTAGTTCTCGTGGCCCCTTCTTACACGCCCAGGGAAAGGCTGATCGCCACTTTGGGGTCAGGAAGCAATTTTTCTCCGGGTCGGTTTGGCTAGAGATCCTGCAGGTTTTTTGTCACCTTCTGGGTATGGAACAGCTGTCACTGGGTGTGTGTGTGGGGGAAGAGGTATTTGTGAATTTCCTGCATTTAGCAGGGGGTTGGACTAGATGACCCTGGAGGTCCCTTCCAACTCTCTGATTCTACGGTATGGGGGAGAAATCACACCCCACGTTTTGAGTGCTTAAATGGTAAGAACAGAGATGCGATGCTGAAGTGTGGAATCTCTCTTTATTTCATTTGCAACAGACATACCGGTTTCCATGCTTTTATCATTCCACTGAATGTATAAAACAGAATGGTTCAGGAGGGGATCTTTATGGAGGGAACAGGCTGTAGTTAATGTGGAATCGTAGGCGGTTTCAATTGCATGGTTCATGTGATACTGTTCTGGTGCACTGTACTCTGATTTGTAATCCAGTTTTTAGTGCATTGTTCGTTTTATGTAGTTAATACGGTCCTAACTGCATTTTAAGCCTGTGTAATCTGTTTTGTGTCTCCGTGAGAAAGACAAGACTATAACTGAAGTAAAGATCTAAAAATAAAAATGGGTTTCACACCCTAATGCCCTTCCGCTTGTTTTGGCTTAACCGGCTTGATAAAATAAAATAAAAACCAGCTTGTTCCGGCTTAAATAGCGTGATTCAATATCTTAAGCACATAAACCAGAAGCCATAACGAAGCACTTAAAAACTGTAACAGCTTTCCACTCCAAAGGGAAACGAAAATCCCTTTGGTATGCGTGAGAAGATATTTTTTTTTCAAAACTATCTACACAAATCGAAAACAGCAAGAGTCCAGTAGCATCTGAAATGCTAACAAAATACGTGGCAGGGTGTGGTCTTTTGTGAGTCACTGCTCACTTCTTCAGATACAGCTAGAAAGCGATCCACGCAAATATTCCGCTAACTGAAGAGATGCTCCCTAGATCCACCGGGAACAGGTGGGTAATTTAGTACGCTGAAGGGGTGGCGTTCCTGATGTTTCAACACAGTGCAGTCCCTTGGCAGATTCAAAGAATGACGTGCTTTGATCAACACAGTTTGGACATGCAGCGATTTCACCTGCGATCAGGAAAGGTACATCATGTTCTATCAGATCAGCCTTCCATTTACTAGGCATATCAGCGTGCATTTGAAAGGAGGAAAAAGCAAGTTCCTAGCCCTCACTATCTTTTGAAAGGGCTCTCAGATAATAGGCTTGGATAAGCACATTTCTTTATTTTAAAAACACAGTATCTGACACTTTCTCCCCAATATGGGGCGCAATGTCTCCTTACTCCATGCAGGGCTCCCAAGGGCTCAGGGGGCACAGATGTGCCTCCCCTCTTCCACTGCATACTCACAACAACCCTGTGAGGTAGGTTAAGCTCATAGAGAGAGCAACTGGCCAAAGAGCGGCTTGTTGCGGCTCAGCAGGGGACCCGAATTCGGGTCGCCCTAGCCCTGCTCTGGCACACAAGCCGTTACACCCCACTGTCAAAATCACAATTACAAATAAAGAGCAAAAATAAGTTGTGTTAAAAAAAAACTAACCGAGCCATAGAGGTCACAAAATACAGCATTTTTTTGGAAACCAAATTTGCATTGCTTGGGGGGAGGCAGGGGTTGTTTATTTATGTATCATGCATACAGACTGCTTTCCCTTTAACCTATTTGTGGGGAAAAGGGGGGGAAAAGCTCAGAAATGGGAGGGGTGAGAGAGAAACATCAAATGCGTTACTAGACTTTAAACCGTAATCATTCTTGCTGTGAAGTCAGGCTACGGGCGCTTCTGAAAGAAGCAACCCCCGTTCCCGACCAGAAAGGAAGTGTAAAAACCGCTGGAAGGATCCCGAGTGATTGCCCATCTTTTGCAGACGTGCAACCTTTCCCGGCTCAAATCAAAGGGCCCGCATCCATTTTCTGAATTTTGAAGATAAACGACTCTTCACACGATTCTGCTGGGTCCTCTGGAAGGCCAGCAGGAGCTCTTTGGCGACCGACACTTGCGTGGGAATGTTCCGGATCCTGGTGAGGTAGGCATAGATCTCGGCCTGGAGCATCAGCTGGTTGTTGTGGCCCTCCTTGGGCGCGGCTTCCTGCTCCAGCGCATGCTTCAGCGCCCACAGCTTCTTGGGCGAGTTGATCTGATAAACCGCAAAGTCGATAAAAGCCAGTTCGCACTCTGGGCTCTCTGGAAAAGATCGGACGGAAATTGGTCACAGGCCAGCTCGTGGCACTGAGAAGCCTGGCAAAACCCCTCGATGATTTCTCTGGCGCCAGCCGACCTTGGCGAGGTTGATATTATGGTGGGAAGTGGCCTACCTCATGCTCCGAACTCGAAGCAGCGCATCCATGGGTCAAACTGAAAGTGACAGTGGCCGCGGGGTGTCAAACATCGCTCTGCTCAGTTTGCCATGGATGCCGGGGGGGGGGATTCCTTAGGTGGGGGAGGGGAGTGAGTGACTGCACTATCTTAGAGGTTGTAATTCTTCCAAAGAAGCCTTCCCTCTCCCAGAGGAATGTCCTTGAAACTTTTGGTGCCAGCTTGCTTGTGTAGATAATGGGATCATACATTTCCCAGGTGAAAGGGGGGTAAGGACCGCTATGGTTAGGCAGGCTGGATGTGACGTACGAATAAATATTAGAAGGGGTTTCATTTGGATTACCTATATCTGTGATTGTACCCGCCAAAATCTCCAGTTCTGACACAGCATAGTTATGATCTGGATCATGCTTAAATCTCAATAAGCGTATCACTGCCAAAGAGAGTGCTGTTGGGAGTAACTTGACCCGGAGTCTATCCTGCGGCAGCCAATGCGATTTCAGAAGCAGTTGTCACCCTTGTGGCAATGCCTAAAGAATGACAGCTGCTTTTCAAATGGTGTCAGTGGCCATGGGATGGACTGGTGGCCAATGCTCCCTCTAAGCTATGGTGTCCTGTGAGCAAAAATTCTACTTTGTGAGCTACTGGCATTAAAGTTGTGGGTGAGCGATTCGACTACTGCATCAATGAGTTTGCTCGGGAGCCCTCCTTCCTGAGCTAAGACAGAAATGTGTGAGCCGGAGGCTAAAAAACTACGAGCTAGCTCACACTAACTCAGCTTAGAGGGAACCCTGCCTGTGGCTACTGTCCCTTTTAGTTTGGCCTGAGGAGTGGCCTGAAGCAGACTCTCTGGAGAGCCAGCCAAGAAATTTTCTAAATAAATAAATCGGTCCAAGAGACGTGTGGCCTCTGAGGTGTGGTCAACTGACCCAAAACCAGGCCTTCCACAACAAATCTGGATTTAGCGGGCTTAAGGGAGATACATACATATAGGGACCGGATTTCAGTCTCCTAGCCGATTTTGGGGTCTTTTAGTCAACCTCCAGGTGGGACTGTATAGAAATTTTGATTTCTGCTTCTATAACCCATGCCTTCTCCTGTGATACATTTTGATAACATGCTGTGTCTTATTTCCTCTTGCAGGCCAAATGGCCGACCATTTGCCCAGAGAAACTTTATAACCATGCAATATAACCACACATTCTTTCACACCTCTAAGGGAAGAGGCAGACCTGATGGCGCCTGGCTCTTCCTCACAGGCAAAAAGTCACATCAGCAATGGAGAAGCTGAAGCTTGGGGTCACCTGACTGCAGAGGGAGTCTCCAAACTTCCAGCCTATCCCCACTTGCACCCATGACAACCAACAAATTGGACACACCTATGTCCACTCGCAATTGGCTCCTGGCCAGGGCTAATTAGTGACTGGAATGGGCATATAACTGGTCATTCCTTATGGGAGAGATTCTCTCTCGGCTGCTCTTGTCCTCTATGTGGTTTTATGACACCTGAAATGCTGTCCTGCCATGCTGTCTGTTGGAGAACAAAGACTTGCTTTGTGACTTAAAGCACATGGTGTGCCAAGATGGGATTTCCCCTCAAAATCCCTTGGTTCCTAGCTGGACTGTATACCTTGGACACTATTTGGACTGAGGGATGCCTGAAGTTGGTAAATATGTATCTTTTACTGTGTAGTTAAGGCAAACTGCCTTAGGCTTGTTATTTTGTAATCTCTGATAGTCTATCTTGCTAAGCTCTGACTGAATAAACATTAATCTTATTTCTAAACGGTCTTTGATGTTGTATTTCCCGTGCCTACCTGACCACAAGCTACCATTGAGCATTTAGTGTGCATCTCTGAGCTGGAGTTGCTAAGGTGTTAAGCCCCAGAGGCCAGCTAAGAGTCTGAACCTTGCTCTTAGGCTGGGAGGGGACTCTAGTTAAAAGAGGTTCTGGTGGCATATTGTTCTGAATCCAGAGAGGGTAGCCTACCTCTGTGGGTTGTTGTTAAGGTACTGAAAAAGTATAGGATTTCCTCTCGTCCCTGGACAGGCCTGAGGGGTCTAATCCTACACAGGGACCTCCTTCAACATCTTTGCCCTGCCCTGGATGGCCCAGACTGGCCCTGTCTCACCAGATCTCGGAAGCTAAGCAGGGTCAGCCGTGGTTACTACTTGGGTGGGTGACCACCAAGAAAACCCAGGGATGCTACACAGAGACAGGCAACGGCAAGACCCTTTCTGTTCCTCCCCGGCCTGGAAAACCCAACGGGATCACCACAAGTCGGCTGTGACTTGACGACACGTCCCACCACCAAGGATTCCTTATGGGAGATCGCTTTGCCGCCACCCTTAAACCACTTCCGGTGCACACTGACCTTCTGTAAGCAGCCTCACTGGCTGCAGCTGCCCACCTGACGCTTCCTCGAGCCATTCCTGGGTCCCATCGGTTTGATTGAGCTGGCAAGCCGTGCAGAGGGAGTCGTGGAACGGGTTCCCCGGAACGTTGAGCTTCAGGCCGTGCGCCGAACAGTTCGTGTGCGGCTGACAGAGCCCCGTGCTGGAGTTGGAGAAGGTCCCCGGAGGGCACGCGGCACATTTGGTGTCTTCATGAGGGGTGCCTGCAAGAGAGGAGCGTGGGAGAACGGAGTCAGCGTGGGATCAGCTGCTGCATCAATTAGTTTGCTCTCGAGCCCTCCTTCCTGAGCTGAGACAAACAATGCATGAGCCGGAGGCTAAAAAACTGTGAGCTGGCTCACACTAACTCAGCTTAGAGGGAACATTGCTGGCAACCCTAGCTGCCTAGCATCATCTCTCCACTGCACTCCCTTCCCAGGCCTCCTGGAGGAGGGCATAGCGGGACTTTTTGAAAAATTATACTGAATAAGAGCTAATCTCTCTGGTGCTCTGTCTCCCCAGGAATTTTGGGAACTGAAGTTTTGCATGTAAAATTATTTGCATGTTTAAGTGGTAATGGCTCGACAAGAGATGGCTTTCATCTGGGTTAGCGGTCTTGGATTTTGGTGTGGTGTCACCATCATGGCTTCTTCCCCCAAACCCTTGGGAAGTTTTATCTGCAGCGTTCATATTTTCAGTTCTTCCTCCTCTGGTGTTGGCCTAAGGCAGGGGTCCCAACCGTGGCACCCCCTTCCTTCTTCCCTAAAGCAAGGAACCAATCCTGCCCATCCTCTACCTCAAGGGTCCACAACCTTTCTGAGCCAGTGGGCACCCTTGGCATTCTGATACAAGGTGGTGAGCACAGCCACAAAATGGCCGCCACAGACGGCAAAGCCAGCCACAAAATGGCCGAAGAGGAGCCGCACAGACAAAGCCTAAGTGCCCGGGGCGGCGGGGTAGGGTTGCCACCTCTGGGTTGGGAAATGCCTGGAGCTTTTGGGGTGGAGTTTGGGGGAGGTAGGTTTTGGGGAGGGGAGGGAACTCAGCAGCATATAATGCCATTAAGTCCACCCTCCAAAGTAGCCATTTTCTCCGGGGGAACTGATCTCTACCGTCTGGAGACCAGTTGTAATAGCGGGAGTCACAGGGCTATTTTTGGGCAGGAACGGAGTTCTGGCTGGCTCCTGAGTTGGCCACGCCCAGCAGGAACTCATTAGCATAACAGGCCACACCCGAGAGCAGGAACTCATTAGGATTGGCTACTTTAGGGGTGTGTGGCCTAACATGCAAAGGAGTTCCTGCTACAAAAAAATCCCAGGGTTTTGACAACGAACAAGGTACACAGAATAAGAAGCAAAAGGTGGGTGTGGCTGGACAACCACACTTCTGGGGGTGTGGCCTAATATGCTAATGAGCTGCACTGTCAGGGGTGTGACCTAATATGCTAATGAGTTTCTGCTCTTGGGTGTGGTCTATTATGCTAATGAGTTCCTGCTGGGCTTTTTGTACAAAAAAAGCCCTGGCGGGAGATCTCCAGGGACGACCTGGAGGCCGGCAACAAACTATAATGGGAAACAAAAGGCAAAACAAAGACCAACATGGCGGTGTAACTGCCACTGAAACAGCATGATTTTATTTTGCCCAGCCATTCAAAAGCCAGGGCTGACAACCTCCAGACAGAGCCCAGCCATCGCCAGTTCAGTCAGTCTCCAATCACAGCTAGAGAACCAAAGACGATCTTCTCCTATTGGGTGGAACGGAAAGCTCTGTGATCCAGAGTCAGATCTGGAGTCGGGACACATGGGAACTCCTGCCAGCTCCAGACGTTCTGGAGTGAATGGCCACAGCAACTAATTCTGGGGCACCGGACAGGCCTAGCCCCATCTGCCACGTGCTTGTATCTGTACCTCCAATACCTGGAGATTTTGAAGGTGGAGCCTGAAGGGGGCGGGGTTTGGGGAGGGGAGGGACTTCAGTGTGGTATAATGACACAGAGGGCGATTCGGCATTGGCTTTCCCCTCCATTGTTTTAGCAAACCCAACTTGGAACAGAAATTCCCCCTCTGCATTGCATGCTGCTTTCACTTTCTTTGATCATCGGATTTTATGGTACCCTCTGCACTGCATGCTGCTTTCGCTTTCTTTGATCATTGGATTTAATGGGTTTTTAATGGGATTTTATTCAGCCATTGGCCATTACAAATTTTTACAAAAACATAAAACACATTTACAAGTAAAACTTTAAGGATAAGAACTCATCTCCAGGCAACAGAGATCAGTTCACCGGGAGAAAATGTCCACTCCGGCTGGTTCTGTGTCTGGCATTTGCTCCACATTTTCTCAGCACTGGGTGATTCTGCATTGGTTTCTCCCTTCATTGTTTTAGCAAACCCACGCTGGAACAGAAATTCCCCTCTGCGTTGCATGCCGCTTTCACTTTCTTTGATCATCAGATTTTATGGTACCCTCTGCACTGCATGCTGCTTTCACTTTCTTTGATCATCGGATTTTATGGTACCCTCTACACTGTATGCTGCTTTCGCTTCCTTTGATCAGCAGCTGGTTCTGCATCTGGCATTCGCTCCACATTTTCTCAACACTGAGGGGAAAGGTGCAGCTCAAAACCACATTCAAATACCCCAGGGACAACGTCATACTGACTGCAGAGTCATCCCTGAACGGCCGTGAATCTATGCAGACGGTACCATAAAACCCGAAGATCAAAGAAAGCGAAAGCGGCATGCAATGCAGAGGGGAATTTCTGTTCCAGCGTGGGTTTGCTAAAACAATGCAGGGAAAAAGCCAATGCAGAATTGCCCAGTGCTGAGAAAATGTGGCACGAATGCCAGACGCAGAACCAGCCGGACTGGATATTTTCTCCCAGTGAGCTGATCTCTGTTGCCTGGAGATGAGTTGTTACCTTAAAGTTTTACTTGTTAATGTATTTTATGGTTTTGTAGAATCTGTAATGGCCAATGGCTGAATACAATAAATTCTACTACTACTACAGCTGTAATCAGTGTTCTCTCTAAGCTAACTCACTGTTTTTCAGCCTCTGGCTCAGACATTTCTGTCTTAGCTCAGGAAGGATGGCTCCAGAGCAAGCTAATCTATGCAGGAGCCAAATCGCTCGCTCACAACTTTCATGCCAGTAGCTCACAAAGTAGAATTTTTGCTCACAAGACTCCACAGTTTAGAGGGAGCATTGGTTGTAATCCCAAGAAATCTCCAGCCACCACGTGGAGGTTGGTGTAAAGGGGGGGGGGAGGGTTTTCATCAGGTTCGAAGGGAAAATCTCCTTACAGCTGTCAAACCTAAACCACACGTCTTTATTAAAACAGATAAATTCTACAGCCAGAAACTTGGTGCGCGGTAGAACACAAAGCTTTCTGGCAAAGTAGTTCCTGGGGTTTTCTTTAAGCATACAGATTTCCCCTTTGTTTCCAGGCCTTCCTTTTGTGAGAATTTGCAATCCAGCAAAAATCTGAATCCACAACAAACCACCAAAACGCACACCGCCTCCTTTTTATCTGCAGCGCCAAATGGACGGGGGATTCCCAGCCCGGAAAGGGAAAACCCGATAGAGAAAGTAGGGGTTGGCGTCGTTTCCTTTTGAAGAATGCAGAACTGCTGCCAATTCTCTCTCGATTAAGGGGAAGGACATGACTCCGCACACCATTTTGGCAAGCGTATCTTTCAGATGGGGTCACTCGCCGCCAGACATCACAGTGACCGATTTCACACAAGAGCTGCTCGGCGGTCGCGTCTCCCTTTGCCCCGCTTCTATTGGTCAATTTCCTGCTCGAAGTCGCGCAGCCGCATTTTGACCTTCGCCCGATTTTTCCCGCGGTTTCGTGATCCTGATTTTTGAGGATCACAAAACCGCGGGGAAAATCGGGCGAAGCCACGAGTCAAAATGTGGCCGCGCGGCTTTGAGTGGGAAATTGACCAATAGAAGCGGGGCAAAGGGAGGCACGACCGCGGCGCAGCTCTTGTGTGAAATCGGTCAGTGTGTCAAGAACACACACAGAGGACCGGTTCTGAATGCCAAGATGCGGCACTGGAATACAAGAGGCTACAACAGAAAGGGAGATGATGACCTGTTTGAAGAGCCCAGGCTAGCCCGATCTCATCAGATCTTGGAAGCTAAGCAGGGTCAGCTCTGGTTAGCACTTGGATGGGAGACCACCAAGAAAGTCCACGGTTGCTCTGCAGCGGCAGAACATAGCAAGCCACCCCTGAACGTCTCTTGCCTTGAAAATGGGGAACCATTCACAAGCACTCTTTGGGTGCGATCGGTCAACCAGTTACAGATCCAACCAGAGGTCGATTCGGGGGGATTGCGGGGGATCGCCGTTCCCCCGGGTGAGGTGCGGGGGCGGGGCACACGACAAAGCCCCGCCCCCTGCTTCCGGCCGCCCCGCTTCCGGCCCTCATTCAGCCAGGAGGAGGCAGGAGAAGAGGGAGGGTAAGTTGCTCCCTCCCTGCCTCTCCCCACCCCTGCCTGCCTGGGGCCAGGGAGGGCCTTGGCGGGGCTTCCTCGCACTCCCGCCAGCCTTGCAGGTCCACCGCCGGGCCCCTGATGTCAGGGGGTGTGGCATATGCTAATGAGTTATGCTAATGAGTTCCCCTAGCTCTTTTTCTACGAAACGACCCCTGGATCCACCTAACACTAACAGGGTCCAAGCCACATCTTACCAAATTGTTAACAAGAATATTATGTGGAACCTTATCAAAAGCCTTACTGAAATCAAGACCAACTCTGTCTACAGCCCTCCCCTGATCCTACAAGGTAGTAACTTTCTCAAGAAAAGAGATAAGGTTAGTCGGCCATGACTTGTTCTTGAGAAACCCATGTTGGCTCTTAGTAATCACAGCCATACTTTCCAAGGACTCACTGACTGATATTTCCTAAAACTTTCCTGGTATAGACATCAAGCTGATGGGTCGGTAGTTACCCAGATCCTCCTTTTCCCCCTTCTTGAAGATGGGGACAACATTTGCCCGCCTCCGGTCTTCTGGCACCCCACCTGTTCTCCAAGATTTCTCAAAAACGATGGACAGAGGCTCAGAAATTACATCCACAAGTTCTTTTAGTACCCTTGGATGCCACTCATCTGGCCCCGAAGACTTGGTTTCATTTAAATAAACTACGTGTTTATGTATTATTATTATTTCTTCAATTTATACCCTGCCCTATCCCACAAGTGGGCTCAGGGTGGCTTACAGCATAAAATCTATAAAACAATAAGAACAGTAAAACCAATAAAACAATCGATGGCACGATAGACAATATCAACATACCCCATGCCCCATATCAGATGAACATAGGTACTCCAGAAAATCCCAGTGCCTAATAATAATAATAATAATAATAATAATAATAATAATAACGTACTACCCCTACTTTCACCTCGTCAACCAGTTCTTCCCTGTATCTTACTCAGATATGAAAGCTCCTACCCTGCCATAAATTTTGTTAGTCTTTAAGGTGCTACTGGACTCTTGCTCTTTTCTGCTGAATTGCAACTGATAGTGAAGCTCAAAACAACGCATCCTCCTGGACTGAATCAAGACCTAGGTTTCCTGTCTCATCGCTAATGCTGATTTCTCCACACCTACTTCCCCTCTGCACATCACAACTAATCCAATGACACCTGCTATTGCCATTTGGCATCTGAAATCACTCCACTCTCCAAGATATAAGGACAGATCGACTCACATTCTAGCTTTATTTGAAGAAGTGAGCAGTGACACACGAAAGTTCCTACCCTGCCACATATTTTTTTAGTCTTTCAGGTGCTACTGGACTCGTGCTCTTTTCACCTGTTCAGAGCAGGCCATGAAGGTTAACAGCCCTCTTCAGGTTTAATGGGTCAGGTTTCTCTCTCAACCTACCCTACCTCAAAGGGTTGACGTAAAGATAACTAAGCACATGGGTTTGCGGCAAGACTGGCCAAGGAACATCTCCTGGCATCTCTTGTTAAACGAATCAGGCTGCTGGCAGCGGACCAAGAGCAGATACATCTGCTTGGCATGCAGAAGGCCCCAGGTTCAATCCCCAGTATCTCCAGTTAAAAAAATATATCATGTAATGTGAAAGACCTCAGCCCAAGACCCCGGAGAGTCTGCCAACTTTGGGAGGGGCTGCGGCTCAGTGGAAAAGCTACTGCCTTACATGTGGAAGGTCCCGGGTTCAGCCGCCAGCACCTCCAGTTAGAAGAGAAGAAGAAGAAGAGATTGGATTTATACCCCGCCCTTCACTCGGAGTCTCAGAGCGTTTTACAAACCCCTTTCCCTTCCCCTCCCCACAACAGACACCCTGTGAGGTCGGTGAGGCTGAGAGAGCTCTGAGAGAACTGCTCTTGAGAGAACAGCTCTGAGAGAACTTGTAACTGGCCCAAGGTCACACCAGCAGCTGCACGTGGAGGAGTTGGGAATCAAACCCGGTTCTCCCAGATTAGAGTCTGCGGACTTAACCACGACACCAAACTGGCTCTCTAAAAGGATCAGACAGTAGGTGATACAGAAGACCTCTGCCTGAGACACTGGAGAGCTACTGCCTGAGCAGATAGTACCGACCTTGACGGATGGACCAAGGGTCTGATTCAGTATAAGGCAGCTTCACACATTTATGTATCCCAAGATCAGCCGCTTCCAGCTAAAGCAGACCACACAGGTCAGTCTGACTCAACAGAAATGTAGCTTCAAACACACTGAATTTGTTTTAGCTCTCGATCGTGTGACTCATAAAACAATTTCAGACTTGACACCACCCCCCAACATGCACAGTGTTGGTGAAGTCAATCCCATTTTTAGATTCCAACTCTGATGAGTCACTTTCAAAATCACGGTTCTTTGCATTTGAACAAGTCACACACTTGCCTGGCTACCTCCCAGTTTTTGACAACCGGTTGAAACAGTTTCTCATCCCTAGAAAACCCGAGAGCGAGGCAGTCCACAGACTGGCTATGCCACTCAGTTTGGGAGATGACAGCTTTGGGACCCACTATTTCAGAGCTGAAGAAACTCTTTCTAACCCTTGAACTGCAGAACAGCACTGGAAGATACATGGCCAGATCAGTTCAAAGGGAATCTTGGTGGTGGTGGGGAGAACTTTGGCTCTTGTACCACCACTGAGCACTTTTAACCCTGTCTTTCTGCTGTATCCCAGAAGGGCACCTATATCGATATACTGGCTATTATTTAAATTTAACCAAAATAATTCAAGAGATCTGTTATACCCTAGTAAAGGTAAAGGTTCCCTTGCTCGAAAGCCAGTCGAATCCGACTCTAGGGATTGCGGTGCTCATCTCCGTTTCAAAGCCGAAGAGCCAGCGCTGTCCGAAGACGTTTCCGTGGTCATGTGGCCGGCATGACTAAACACCAAGGTGCACGGAACGCTGTTACCTTCCCACCGAAGTGGTACCTATTTATCTACTTGCAATTTCTTGCTTTCGAACTGCTAGGTTGGCAGGAGCTGGAACTAGAGATGGGAGCTCACTCCATCATGCGGCACCCGGGTCTCGAACCGCTGAACTACTGACCTTCCACAGCCTGCAGTTCAGCGTCTTAACCACTTGAGCCACCGCAGCTCCTTTTTGTTATACCCTAGCAGTTAGGAAACTGACCTATGCTCCCAGAGACCCCCATACAAATATCACCTTGGTCAAGACTTCTCAATTTCACACACACAAAATAATGCACTTTCAATCAACTTTCAGTGCATTTTTCAACTGGATTTTACTGCACGGGACAGCAAAACCCACTTGCAAACATTCCCTAAAGTGCAATGGAAGTGGATTGAAAATACATTATTCAGAGTGTGCTGGCTTATGTCTGGTTTCTCTCCACCATATCTCCCTGTATATTTAAACTGCAGGTTTTTATGCCGGACGTAAATGGATATAATATCGAACTGACCACTAGAGGGAGCAAAAGACGAATGGAGGGAAAGAAAACCCCGAAGAACAGGAATTTATAAGTAATCACTGTTCTAAGCAGGGGTCGTTTCGTAGAAAAAGAGCTAGGGGAACTCATTAGCATAACTCATTAGCATATGCCACACCCCCTGACATCACCGGAAGTGTGTCATAAGGCCACACACCCCGCTCCCAACGGTCCCGGCCGCTGCCGCCGGCCTTGCAGCTCCACTGCCGAGCCCCATGAGCGGCCCGGTGGGGGACCTGCAAGGCCGGTGGGAGTGCAAGGAAGCCCCGCGAAGGCCGTCCCTGGCCCCAGGCAGGCAGGGGTGGGGAGAGGCAGGGAGGAAGCAACTTACCCTCCCTCTTCTCCTGCCTCCTCCTGGCTGAATGAGGGCCGGAAGCGGGGCGGCCGGAAGCAGGGGGCGGGGCTTCGTCATGTGCCCCGCCCCCCGTTCCTCACCCGGGGGAACTGTGATCCCCCGCGATCCCCCCCGAAATGACCTCTGGTTCTAAGGATTATTACAAGATAATCCACATGAACCAATTCGAACTCTGAAAAAGCACTGGATAAATGCTAAGACATTACTTTATCAGCCAATACCCCCTGCAGGCTAAAGATATCTGTCTGACCTGGGGGAAAGGAGTTCAATACATACCAGGCTGAGCGACTCCGCTCCCCAGAGGGCAAGCGGAATGCGGTAGGCAGAATTCAGAGGACGGGTCGAAGTAGTATCCTGGCTTGCACTGGCACACCCGGTCATGCGTGGCATTACATGGCAGAGCCTCCTCTTCTAGGCCGCTGCAAATATTGTTGCAATACAGACAATTATCGAGGTAGTTCCAGTACTGGGTGTAGTAGAGACTGGGGCACGGCTGGCACTGGGTTGGCTTATCCTTGGTGCAGTACTGTGCCACGCATGTCCCTGGTGGGCACTGCTGGCAGACGAGTCTCTCCTTGGTAATGGGATCTTGCCACTCGTAAGTGGGCGCAGAGCTGGAGAGCAGAGTGTTGCAAAATACCAGAAGGCTGAAAACCACCCACTAGAGGGGAAAGAAAAGAAAGAAGTCAGTCCTGGATCTAAGAAACAATTTTGGTTTTATTTAGCACAGGCAATCCTTCAGTCCCTTGGATTTTCCCGATACATTTTTCTGTATGTTTTCTTGGGTCAGACCAAGGGCCCCTCTAATCCAGTATTCTGTTTCCAAAGGTCCTACCCAGACGCTTCCTGTTCAGAGCATTTTCAAATAGAGATTAGAAAGAGAGACTGCTGAACGGCAACCGATCATGAAGCTGAAGACAATGCGTCCTCCTGGACTGAATCAAGACCTAGGTTTCCTGTCTCATTACAAATGCTGATCTCTCCAGGGCTACTGTCCCTCTGCATATCACACCTAATCCAATCACGCCTGCTATTGTTATTCACCCGCTATTGTCATTCGCCTGCTATTGTCATTTGGCATCTGAAATCACTTCACGCTCCAAGATATAAGGACACATGGACTCACATTCTAGCTGTATTTGAAGAAGTGAGCAGTGATGTACGAAAGATCCTACCTTGCCACAACTTTTTTTTTTAGTCTTTCAGGTGCTACTGGACTCTTGCTCTTTTCACCTCTTCAGAGCAGGCCATGAAGGTAACAGCCCTTATCTGTCCCTCAGCACCTGGACTTTAGAGGTATACTACCTCTGAACATGGAGGTTCTCTTTTGCTATTGGGGCGCGTCGCTGCTGACAGGACTACTGTCCACCACAAGGCCAAGGTCTAGTGTTACGAGACACAGTGAAACATTTCCAGCCACTCTCTTTCAATGTTCCCTCTAAGCTGTGGAGTCTTGTGAGCAAAACTTCTACTTTGTGAGCTGCTGGCATTAAAGTCGTGAGCGAGCGATTTGGCTCCTGCAGAAATTATTTTGCTCTGGAGCCATCCCTTCCTGAGCTGAGACAAAAATGTGTGAGCCGGAGGCTAAAATACTGTGAGCTAGCTCACACTCACTCAGCTTAGAGGGAACACTGCTCTCTTTCCATATCCTTGGAACTGATTTACATGCACATCTACAAACCAACAGAACTGACGGGAAGGGGAAGCCCTGTGCCTTTACCGTGGGTGGTTTCCCGCAGGATTTCTGCTTGCAGAAGGCGTCTGTCATGCTAGGAGCCTGGAGGTTTTTATCGGACCCCTGAGGATTCAGGGAGGCCTTCAGCTGTGCCGATTCCGCCAAGGAAGACTTTCCCCTTTCCTACGTGATGTTTGTGTCCAACGAGGGTGCAATTCTGTAGCAGGAAAGGGAAGAAGAGAAAAACAGAGCTGGTGATTTCCTTGACTTCTGTACAAAACACACAAGGCACAGAGGGCAGCCTACAACATCTTCTACGGCTCATTCTCACCAATGTGCGCGAGCCAGAAACAATAACTATGAAGCACAATTAAGTCCCACTGGGACTGAGAACCATTAGGCTTTGCGATCGTCACTGTGTGCAGCAGACAAGAGTTTGTAAGCCGCTCTGAGACTCCGAGTGAAGGGCAGGATATAAATCCAATCTATAATAACAATAATTATTATTGTTATTATTATTATTCCTCTGCTCAAGAACAGCTAAGAAGTATTGGATTCATGAAATGTTACAAAAAATGTGTGTGTGTGTATACAGGGGTCATTTCCTGCAGGAGCGCACAGGAGCGGAACTCCGGCAGTAAAGAGCCCAGGGGGCGGGGCACATGCAACAAGCCCCGCCCCCTGCTCCCAGCAGCCCTCAGTCAGAGCTAGAAGCAGCCAGGTAAGTTGCAGAGCCCCCCCCCCGGCCCCCGGTCCAAAACAATCCAGTGGCACCTTTAAGACCAAGTTTTATTCAGGTACAAGCTCTCCCTCCTAAAGCCGCTGGGAGGGCTGGCTGGCATGCGGCCTCTCCGTCCCCGGTGCGCCACACATCACCAGCCCGCCTCCCCCCTGCTTCTAAAGTGTCCTGGAGGGCCGGCTGCTATGCGCCCTGTGCTTCACCAGCGCACAGGCTGCCTTTGCCTCCCTGCCGTCTGGAGCCGCTGGGACAGCCAGGTGGCATGCGACCTCTCCTTTGCCACTGCGCCGGCCTGTCTTTGCCCCCCCCCTCCTGCCTTCTGCACCCGCTGGGAGGGCCGGGTGGCATGTGCCCTCTCCTGCGCCACCCGTCACTGGCCTCTCTTCACCCCCACCCGCCTTTTAGATAGCTATGTGGAGGGCAAATGCGGGCCACGGTTGCAGGCGGGAGCACTCTCCCAGACCCTCTCTCTAGAGCTTGTTGCATTCCTTTCCGCAACGGGCCTTAATCACTAATATATATTGTAATTCTGTTTTGGGGTGGCCCTTTGCTGAAGGTTCCATGCGCTCCCTAATCAATTCGCTCCCTGTTCTGTCAATCAAAAGGACTCCCCATGTACTGGCTGCGTTGCGTGAGTCCCGCCCACAGAACCAGCGCCCGCCAAAATTCACCTCAGAAGACACCGTCACCTCAGGAGAGAGGACTGCCGCTGCTCCCAACCTGGCCCCGGCCTGTAGGGCGCGGGGGGGGGACGCTGCTCTCTGCCTGCTCCAGCCCTCGGGCTGACGCCCCCCCCCCAAGGAGGAGGCTGGCCTCTCATGCTCTCTTGCAGCCCTCACCCTCTCTTGCAGGGTGTCCATAAATCAGAGGCAGCCAGCCGTGTTCCACCACCACAGTCCTTATATGCAGATGATGAGGTTCAACCAGGACGGGTGTTCTCAGCCTTACTGCATGCCAAGTGTGACTCATTACAAGACAAGAAGGAAGTTAAGAGTCCAGTGGCACCTTTAAGGCCAACAAAGTTTTGTTTTTATTTCTTTTTTTATATTTTATTTTTTAAATTTTAACTTTACAACAGTAAAAGCAAAATACAGTGGTACAAACATGGATAAAACATACTCAGTGTTACAAATCAAAATAGTAAACGATATTGAAATTCTTAAAACAAGTATGCTTAGGTAGAGCTCATAGGAACACAGTAAAAATTAACATTGACACTATGTCAGGTTAATATATACAGTTATAACATTGATACGATTTCAAGATATCGTTGGGGAACAGAGTGTGTAGGTACAACAGCTTCCATAAAAGTAACCTCAATAAATGGAAGCCACTTAGAAAAGAAGAAGAGGAGATTGGATTTATACCCTGCCCTTCACTACCCAAAAGTGTCTCAGAGCGGCTTACATACTCCTTCCCCTTCCCCTCCCCACAACAGACACCCTGCGAGGTAGGTGGGGCTGAGAGAGCTCTTGACAGAAACGGCTCTTTCTCAAGAACAGCTCTTATCAGAACTACGGCTTGACCCAAGGTCATCCAGCAGGTGCAAGTGGAGGAGTGGGGAATCAAACCCGGTTCTCCCAGATTAGAGTCCGCGCACTTAACCACGACACCAAACTGGCTGTCTTATACCTCACCCTTCACTACCCAAAGGTGTCTCAGAGCGGCTCACAAACTCCTTTCCCTTCCCCTCCCCACAACAGACACCCTGTGAGGCAGATGGGGCTGAGAGAGCTCTTGACAGAAACTGCTCTTTTTCAAGAACAGCTCTTATCAGAACTACGGCTTGCCCAAGGTCATCCAGCCAGCTGCAAGGGAAGGAGTGGGGAATCAAACCTGGCTCTCCCAGATTAGAGTCCGCGCACTTAACCACGACACCAAACTGGCTGTCTTATACCTCACCCTTCACTACCCAAAGAAGTCTCAGAGCGGCTTACAAGCTCCTTTCCCTTCCCCTCCCCACAACAGACACCCCGTGAGGTAGGTGAGGCTGAGAGAGCTCTGACAGAAACCACAGGGTGGGTGACACGGCTGGCGCTTCTCCCCCCTCCCAGCCAATAGTGCAAGATGGCTGGGCTGCTCCGCAATAGCACATCTGCCCCATAGCAGCAGCCCTGGAGGTTTGGAGGGAGGGGGCACGAAGGGGGTGTGAGGTACAGACATTTTTAAGCAGAGGAGAGTTAGGGTCCATTGTCTTCTTGTAAACCCCTTCTCCCCCTCTTTACCCTTTTCTGTGCCCCCCCCCCACTGTTTCCCTTAAAAAAAATTTTTTTAAGAAAGAGCTGTGGAAACTCTGGTTCAAGCGTCTATGGTTTTTACCACAGAGATCTGGGGAAATCCCTAGAGAGTATCCTAATACTCCCGTACCCCACGGACGGCTACACAATCAGGTCGAAAGGGAAACCCATCCTCTGTGCAACCCGGCCACAGGTCACAAGAAAGAGCTGTTCAAACGCTGATTCATGCTGGCAAGTTTGAGCACGCTCCGGACTGCAGTCTCACGTGTGACTCAGCGCGGCCAACACAGATATCACTCATTCCAGCACGAAAGGCAATAAATGACAGCTTGAGGGAGTTCCTACATTGGCAGTGGCCCAAAGTTCACGTGAGACTTGGCGGTGCGTTATTTCCCCACCCCTGGAAGAAGTCTCTTTTTTCTAAAGAGGAAGACGAAAGGGAAGGAGGAGAAAATACTAGATTTACACCTCGCCCTTCACTACCCAAAGAAGTCTCAGAGCGGCTTTCCCTTCCTCTCCCCACAACGGATACCCTGTGAGGTAGGTGGAGCCGAGAGACCGCTTTCAAGGATGGCCCTGGAGAGAACAGCTCTAAGAGAACTTGTGACTGACCCAAGGTCACCCCAGCAGCTGCATATGGAGGAGTGGGGGATCATGCCTGGTTCTCCCAGATTAGAGGAGGTGGTGGGGAGGGGTCACTTCACCCTTTCCCCCCCTCAGAATGGCCAACCTCAAACTACTTTTGGTTCCACAGGGTAAAATAGGAGGGTCTTTCCCATACCAGACCACAAGGAGCTTGGGGGTTAACTCTGCGACGGGAAATGGCGGAAAGGAGTGAAGGAACTCCTTATGCTCTTTTTGTTCATCGAAGCTTTCATAGTGAATGGGGAAAGACACCTGCAGCTAGGCATTGTTGTGGACAGGACTCCGAAGAAGAAGAGTCGTTCATTATACCCCGCTTTTCTCTTCCCGAAGGAGTCTCGCAGTGGCTTACAATCTCCTTCTCTTCCTCTCCCCCCCCCCCCAACAGGAACCTTTGTGAGGCAGGTGGGGCTGAGAGAGTCTGGAGAGAAGCTGTGACTGGCCCAAGGTCACCTAGCAGGCTTCGTGGGGAGGAGGAGGAGTGGGGAATCGAACCTGGTTCTCCACATTAGAAATCTGCCACGCTTAACCGCCACACCACGCTGGCCCAGCTGGATCTGACTGAGGGCCTGTCCAGGTTGGCATTCACTTGCAGAGAGGCTGTGGCTCAGTGGCAGAGCCTCTGCTTGGCATGCAGAAGGTCCCAGGTTCAATCCCCGGCATCTCCAGTTTTAAAAAAGGGCCAGGCAGGAGGTGATGGGAAAGACCTCCACCTGAGACCCTGGAGAGCTGCTGCCAGTCTGAGCAGACAATACTGAAAACGATCTGATTCAGTAGGCAGCTTCGCCCCCCTTTTCCCAGCAGCCATTCAAATGCTCTGGACAGTTAAGTCAGCAAAACGGGGAAGATCATCGGATACTATTTTAAGACTGGGTAGAAAGAAACCTTGAAGGTGAGGAATGATGCACTTGATTATTAAAATCTTAGAGAAACGCTAGCTTGAGCTGTGGAAAGCATAGTTTTCTTTTCTCAGGATTCTCAGCGAATGGATTAACTGATGACAACTTTAGTGATTATATGAAAGAAGGGAAATTGTAAACAGAAGTCGAAATCTGTAACAGCTATAATACAAACTTGAAGGAATTCCCCTGTATGTCTTACCCCATACCCTTTACCCTTCCTACCCTTTATTGTCTGGTTTTATGATGTGTGAAAAATCTAATACATATTTTTTAAAAACCCAACACAAATGCTCTGGACAGTTCACATCTTCCCCAACAGCCACTATATGGCTTCTGAAAGTGGCAGCCCCATTTAATACATCTTTATCCCACCCCCTTCTCTAAGGAACTCAAGGTGAGGTACCAGTATGTTCCCCTCCACCTTCTAGCCTCACAACAACCCCACAAAGTAGGCTAGGCTCAGCAAGAAAGCACCTAGCCTATGGTGGTAGCACAGTTTTGGGGCAAATTCGAACCCGGATCTCCCCAGGTCAAATCCGCCACTACCCTGTCTTGGCTAATACTTACAGTGTAATTCCAGTAATACTTTCTTGGGGATCAAAACCACTGAATAGTCTTGAGTAGGATTCTGAGCAGACCTGTTTTGCATCGCGCTGTACATCATTAATTTG